GCACAAACCTAGTAACCCCTTCAGGAAAACTCCCATAAAGCTATTTATTTGTTTAGAGAATCACAAACCTCGTATTTAACCCAAATTTAACACACAAAGAAACCAAGTCTGGCTGGGTCTTGGCCCTGCTCTTCATGGGGAAGATGCTTCAGGTGTGCTCAAGAAGCAGACAGGGGGAACCAGCAGTTAGCGTAATGGCTATGTCGCTGGACTCCCACGTAGTCAACCGCGGTTCGTTTCCCGGACCCGGTGGCTTAAAAAAAAAAACTCACGCCGGGCGCGTGTGCGTGCGTGCCCAAGATCCCGAGAGGAGAATGGAGGAGAAGGGATTGCGGCGTGACCATCCCCCCTGGGGGGTGATTTCTCGCTTTCTGTCTCTATGTCTCTCTCTGTCTGTCTGGCGAGCGCAAGCGCCCTACAGTGAAAATCTCTCCAAAAAAAAAAAAAAAAAGAAGCAGACAGGGAATAAACCTTCAATCTCAGTAAGTATTTTGTCCATGGTCACACAGCAGTATCCCAATTTCAGGATAAAAAACTCCAGTTTAGAAAAGCTTTGCCAAGGGGACCAGCAGATGGCATAATGGTTATGTCACTGGACTCCCACATAGTCGACCACGGTTCGAGTCCCGGGTCCAGTGGCTTAAAACCCACGCCAGGCACGTGTACATGCATGCCCAAAATTCCAAGAGGAGAATGGAGGAGAAGGGATTGCTGTGTGCCATACCCCCCACCGGAGGGGTGATTTCTTGCTTTCTGTGTCTCTGGCAAGCACACATGCCCTATAGGAAAAACCTCTCAAAAAAAACTTTTGTCGAAATCTGTCACGGTTGTACATAGGATACTGCTGTCACTCATGCTGAAAATGTCCATCATCGTGGCCAGGCGGTGGTGGTGCAGCAATGATGCACATGGCCCCACATGGGGAAGGTCCTAGGCTGGCATTCTGAGGTCTCCCTAAGTTTACCAGGTGCATGTGCCCGCCCGGGACCTGGGCCCACTGAGGCTGGGAGTGAGAACCCCAGGCTGGCATGAGAACCCTGCTGAGGGTCTCTGTCACTCTCCCTCTCTCAATAAATAAATAAAGATATGCACCATGATAGTCTTTTTGAACATGTAAAGTGAGGGGACAAGATGGTGATGCTCTGCAAGGCTGACCCACATGAGGAGGTTCTGGGTTTGCATCCAGAGACCTCCCTAAGTATGCAGAGCATACATGTGCCCATGATCGGGGACTGGCTGAGGCCGGAGGCTGATCACAGTATCAAGATCCTGTTGGAGATTCTGTCTCTCTGCCTCTCTCTTTCTGTCCCCTGGCCTCTCTTGTTCATGAAATAAATAAATACACTTTAAAAAAAATAATGCCCTTTCTCGGGCCAGGTAGGTGGCATGGTGATTAAGGCAGCGGGATCCACAAAGCTGACTGCATGGCTCAAGTCCTGGGCCCATCAGCTTAAAAAACACACTGGGTTTATGTGTGTGCATACCCAAAACCCCAAGAGGAAAATGGAGAAAGGATTGTGGCATGGCCATCTACTCTGGGGAGTGCTTCCTTATTTTCTCTCCCCCTCTGTCTCTTTCTTTCTCTTTGTCTTTCTCCAGTGAGCACATGGCCCCTATAGTAAATTTCTTCTTTTTAATTTAAGAGAGATTTTTGCCTTAGGGCACATGTGCTCGCTAGCAAGAGAGAGAGAGACAGAGACAGAGACAGTGAGAGGAAAAGTGAGAAATCACCCCCCAGGGGGAATGGCCACACCATAATCCCTTCTTCATTCCCCTCCCAGAATCTTGGGCATGCACACACACACACTGGCATGACTTTGAAGTCAGTCACTGGGTCTGGGACTCAAACCACGGTCAACCATCTGAAAGTCCAGCAACGTAACCTCTATGCCATCTGCTGTTCCCTCCTATAGCAAATTAAAAATTTAAAAATACCCTCTCCCTAAAACCTCTTTTTTTAAAAAAAGAAAAAGTAAAGCAAAATTCCATGTAGCAACTTACCCTCCCACCTATGCCTGTTAGAGAACTGGCATATGGAAAACATGAGTCCCAAATCAAACAATCCTAAATGTTCTCCCAAATCGTGAGGCCTGACGACTCAAGGCCAGCCATGTCTACTCTGCCTTCTGGTTTAGCTGTCATCCTGTGCCTTCATGCAAAAATATACATTCAGAGGGAAGTCCCTAAAAAGTCCCCCAACCTTGCCCATAAAGTACAGTATGGAAATATCACATACATCTTAAGCAGCCACATAAAGATAAAGTCTCCTTTTAGTTTTACAGATTCTGTATCCAAATGTTTCACATCAAAATTTGTGACACATGGGCTCACAGCAGAAGTGAATATTAAAAATCAGGACCTCCCTGGGTAATCTGGCCTTACGGTTGCCATGTCGATAGGCCGCAATGCCAAACCAGAGTCTCCAAGGTCCAGAAGCAACTTGGCTGGCTTCGAATAGGCTGGCATTGTGAAGGCAGAGCTGCCTCCTGGCCCAGACTCTCACGCAGACCCTCCCTTTCCCAGTTCAGCTCTCTGATTCCCCAGGGAGTGATGATGACGCCTGTCTGAATTTGCTCAGCCTCTGACAGCAGGGCTGGCCACATCATTCCCTAAGAATCTGAAAATCCACACGCAGCATCCTGGCCCAACTAGACAGAGAAATGTTTTAGAATGGCAAAGCCGAGAGTGGTTACCACAAATTTCAGGGAGAAAGCAAATCCTCAGCTGCACCTGCCTCCTTTTAAGTTGAACAAAGAGCTCAACTCCGGGAAAAGCTGAGCACACATTCTCCCACCTCCTTACTTACAGTCGGGATGGACCTAAGAAGAAAATATTAAGGAGATGTGAAGCTTGGGCCATTGACTGTTCCCAGAAATGGACAAATTCCTATTTCACTCCTTTAAGAAGCACTTGTTAAGTCTTGCTGTGTGCATCAATGTGGGGACACAAGAAACTTCCAGCCCGGTCCCTGCAGGCATAGCTCCATTTGGCTATTATTCTATGGAGGTGAAATAACGTGAAGATAGGACTACAACACGAGGCAGTGTTGGAGGCAGTGAGTGACTGAGGACCAGTGCTAGTGGTGCAGACAGCCGGGGCTGGAGCATAAGACAGAGAGGGAGCTGGCCGTGCTCCTAGGTGTCCAGAGAAGTCCTTTGCTTCCTTCCAGGAGTGTCCCCTCACTCTTACTCTGAGTAGCAGGCCTGTCCCCAACACACACACACACACACACACACACACACACACAAGGGCGGGGGGGGGGGGGCAGACCCGGCAAGGCACAGGAGGAGCAGGGAAAAGGTAGACCAGCAAGGTCGCAAGGTCAGAGCTTAAGGCTCTGAAGCAGCATTTTCCCTATGCTCCTTTCCCTCTTCTCCTCCCCTTCCAGCTCAGACCCTCCTCCTATCACTTCACCAGACACCAGACACCTGTCCGACCCTGCCTTCCCTGAGACCAGGGCTGATCCTCTCCGGAGCAAGAATGTGAGCATCTCTGGTTCTAGTGTGGGAGCTCCCTGGGGTCTAGGGACCACTACTGTTTGACTAGTTCCAGCTGCAACCTGTCAGTCCACCTAGATCTCCCTACTGCTGGGGGGGGGGGGGTCCCTTAGCACAGAATACTTTGCCTCATTAGTCTTTTGGTTCAAACATCACTAAGTGCTCTGGAAACAGTGTCCTAGGGACAGGACCCACAGCCCAGAAGGGCACACTTCTAATCAGGCTTGTTTTGCAAGAGTTCCCACGGACTGGGGCCTAGGGAGAAACCCAGCTTCCCCCCCTCACCAGTGTCTCTCCAGGCAAAGTCAGGAAATAATCATTCTTTTGCAGGGGACTTTTCATTCTTCCCAGTTGAGTAAGGAGGCACTGAATCTGCGGCAGGGTTGGTATGAGGGCGCAATCACGCTGACCCTCCGCATGTTCCTACGGTTCAGAACTGATTGAGGTTAGTATTCTTACACGAGCCTGTGCCCTCCAACCCTGCATCTCTCCACCGAGCTCTTCATCCCTCCTCCTTCAGGCCCAGATTTTCCAGTGAAAATTGCCACTGACTCCACACTCCTACCCCTGCCCCCCTCTTTGCTCTCGCTCCTCATAGTCCTGGTCAGACCTGGCTGGCCCCGCTAGGCGGTCGGTTGTGTCGGGAGAGTTGCCCAAAGCTAGCGCCCACGGGTCCGCATCGGAGGAAAGCGCCGGCCAGAGCGCGCCCTCCGCACGGCAGGTCCCAGAGCCACCCGCCTCAACAGGTGCCCCAGGCTGGCCACGTAGAGCTGTCACCGGGAGCCCGAGTGAAGGCGGGGATAGGAACGCCCCCTGCAGGGCGGCTAGGGCTCCGCACGCCCCCATCTGGGTCCCTAGAGCACCAAGGGCCCCGGCAGCTCCGCTGAGGCCCCCACTGTAACATCGCCTTTGTTTCCCGGCTCGCTTACACTTCGCGGGGCCGACCTCCTGAGAGGGAATCGCCGAGTCGGGCGCACACGCTGCCCACTCACCGATGGTGGTGGACCCTAATGTCGGAGGTGAGGGACGCGTACAGGAAGAGACCTTTCCTCGACCCAGGGAACTAGCAGGTTCAAGTTGGCCCGAGTTCAGAAGTGGGCGCGAGGCCAGGCGTAGCGCCTAGCGACACTTCCCTACCCACGCCGCCACCCGACGTCCTTTGCCCTAGGAGGCTGGAGAGGGGGTGCGCCCCGTCGCCACCTACGCGCTCAGCTGCAAGCGGCTCTCACCGCCGCTCTGCGCGCTAGGTCCAGCCGCCTTCACCCGGCGGGCGAGGAGCTCGCAGCCCCCAGCCCCCCGCCCAGGCAGCTCAGCGCCTGGAGAGCCGCCACGTTCCCAGGCGCGAGCACACGCGGGGCCCACCAAACTTGCAGCACTTTCTCCCAGCCCCCCACTCGCTGTCACCCTCCCTTCATCCTTGCTCCCCAGGCAGGCCCGGAGAGGTTGTCATAACAATCGGTTGTCCTGCCATAAGTAGTAGAAAGTGCCCAGGATCCAGGCTACGGTCAGGATGGCGATGGCATTGGCGCGGATCTTCCTCATGGTGGGCGGACGGGCGCCCGGGGTGGGGGCCGGGACCGGCGTGCTCTCCGGGCCGGAGCGGGGGCGCGGGCAGCCCCAGCTGTTT